TTCTTGTGTGCAATCCACGGTTTGAGTGTAAACAGCGCTCCTCACAAGTATTTGGAACACTGCGGTGCAGTTCAGCCTCAATGAGCAACACACTGCACTTTGATTGGGCTTTCTGTGGTAGCATAGCAACAATTGCCTGGTAGCCTGCTTCAAGGTAGTGCTTCAGAGTCGTGTGCCGTGTGCTTTCAAAGCCTCCGATCTCATCGCTGCGGTCAATGAGCGGCGTGATGCACACTGATGTTAAACCTTGGTTCTCTCAGAGGTTTGCAGCGAGCACGAGGTGGTGAGCTCCCGCAGTGCCGCTTTGACCTATGAGTGTAATCATAGTTTATTATGGTGAACAGAGGAAAAATCATAGAAAAGTCATGCAGTGCATACATCCAGTGCCAAAACAAAATGCTCTGCTGCACCTGGCGCTGTGCTTTTGCATGGGCTAAATGCTTCAGCTCTGCTCTGACTCTAGGGGCCTTTTGGAGGGTTGTCCAAGTCATTCTTAATTAGGTCATGAGTCAGGAGGGCAGCAAAGCTCAGTTTGACTTGTGTGTATCTGCTTGTGTTTGAAGACCTGAAATCACCTGTGGATCTTTGAATGCTGCTGTCAGACTTGTGTGTCTATTTGCACTCATCTTGATCCCATCACTCATATATATAAATGCACTATATTGGCAAAATTATTCAAAAGTATTCAGGTGTTCCAATCACTTTCATGGCCCCAAGTGTATAAAATCAAGAACGTAGCCATGCAGACTGCTTCTAAAAACATTTGTGAAAGAATGGATCCCTCTCAGGAGCTCAGTGAATTCCACAGTGGTACCATGATAGGATGCCACTTAACAAAGTGGAAGCAACTGGGAACAGCTAAGCCATGAAGAGATTCATCATGTAAACGCACAGAGCAGGGTCAGCGGATGCTGAGGTGCATAGTGTGTAGAGGTTAGCAGCTTTCTGCAAAGTGAATTGGTGCACACCTCCACATTTCATTTGGCCTTCAGATTAGCTCAAAAACAGTGTGTAGAGAGCTTTATTGGAATGGATTTCAATGACCAAGGAGCTCCATTCAAGCCCAATATCACCAAGCACAATGGTGTTGTAAAGCACTCCGCCACTGGACTCTAGAGCGGTGGAGACGAGTTTTCTGGAGTGACGAATCACGCTTCTCTGTGTGGCAATCCAATGGACAAGTCTAGGTCAGATGGTTGCCAGGGAAATGATACTTGTCTGACTGTGCCAGGAGTAAAGTTTGTGGATGGTGGATTAGGGTGTGGTTTGTATTTCAGGGGCTGGGCATGCACAGAGTCCTGACCTCAAACAGATAGAAGACCTTTGGGATGAATTAGAACAGAGACTGCGAGCCTAGCCTTCTCATCCAACATCAATGTCTGACCTCACAAATGTGCGTCTAGAAGAATGGTCAAAAATTCCCAGAAACACACTCCCAAACCTTGTAGAAAGCTTTCCCAGGAGAGCTGAAGAGCTGCAAAGGGTGGGTTAACATCATAGTAAATGCTAAGAATTTAAAATTGGATATATGTGTGTGAAGGCATATGAGCAAATACTTTTGACACGTATTTATGAGAATATTGTAAAGCCTGGTTTCCAGTTTCAGACCAACATTACTATCTTTCCAAATATTCAGCCTCTTCAGGTCATCAAGCTTCTGTCCTTAAACTAGTCACAGGGATCCCTCTTATGGTGAAAATGAACAAACATGAGCTAAAGCTTTTGTTTCACCTCACAGTTAAGGACTTCATTGCTGTAAATTAAACCCCTTCGTGAGAAGCCTTGATTGTGTTCTTTAATCAGAGGGAGTGTAAAAAATCCCACAACAAATTAATGTTAAATGAACTCTCATTAAGTTCCCTCCCCCCCACCACCATTGAAAACACACCTATCCACTCATGTTTCAGACTGATGGTGAAGTTGTATGAAGAAAGGATAAAGCATGTTGTCTAAACACTTGAGTTAAACATACAGCATCATGTGTTACTAAGAGTCGATTGGGGCGTTTGACTGATGCCTATGAACAGCAAGAGGAAAAGCGAGTGACTGGAAGGCACCAATGCATTAACCATGTGATACTATTTATATCTGAGGAGCAAGGGTGACCCAGTAACTCACACGTGTTATGCAACATATGAATGGTGCAAAAAAAAAAAGTGCATGGAACATGCACATCTCAGGGACTTGGGTCTCCTTGTCATAGATGCCAATGAGAGTTAATCGCATTAATCAGGGAATGCTGTGGATGGGAGAGAAAAACTGTCTATAATGTAGAGCAGACTGTGCATGCCCAGACACTGGAAGTATTCATCTAGCTTGCTGTCAGACAGGTTTCAACTCCATATTACGCTCCATTATATACTGCCACTGCTCAACTGTGGCTCAAAAACCTATCCTATGAGAGCTGAACTGCCTTCAAATGAAACACATGCGGACAAGTAGCACTTATCAAACCTACAATTCCTGTTGCTTTGGCACGTAGACATGAGCAGACCAATTAAAAATGAGAATACATTGAGCTAGTTTGTCTTCAAAGAAAAAACTTGAACATTTTAGCGTTGAACGTCTCGCTTCTTTTGAAACCAGATATCACATGTGAGAGATGGACCCAACTAAAAATGTTCGCTAGTTAATCACAAGTTAGCCTCACTCGAAACCATTCCCTGTTTTGTCATCACTTTGAGTCCAAATAGGACCACATTCAAAATAATGAACTTTATATTCTATTAAATATACTATAAAACGACATACTGAGACAACTAACACATGAGGAGAGTGTTTATTGAGGCACTTCAGTTGCACAAACAGAGGAGTAGCCCCCTGCTGGCCATTGCAAAAATGCACATTACAGGATTCACTTTCCCAATGGAGGATTTGCTTCTTTTATGTACAGTTGAAAATCAACCTTAAGCTATAGCTAGGCATTAATCATTAATTAGAACATCTACAATCATCTTGTACTCGTAAACTAATAATGAGGAAACTAGTGACTCTAATTGTATCACTGTTATACTTTCATTTTTTTTGATAAAGAAAAAAATAACAGACATGATCATTAAATGATCCTGAGAAACAATGTCCAATTATTGTTAATATGAGTTTTTAGGGCCATTCAAAATCACTTCTCAAGTATCCAGGGATATTACCTCTTAAGCCTCTCTTTGGAGAAATCCCCAGCAGTGAGGTTTATGATAGGAGAAATATTCTGCAGAAAAACAAAACAAAACTAGTGTTCAGCTGCCAAGTGTTTCCAACATCATGAACAAACTAACACTCAGTTTGCTGAATCAGATGCTTTACACCAGATTTGGAGCCATCACACTTTCAAGCTTGTCTGACTATCAGCTCCTGTGATGCAACAAGTATGAGTGTGTGTGAGAGCCAGTCGTAATTGCCAAGCCCTTGGGTTTCAGGTCACAGTCAGTCATGATCTTACCAAAGTCTTTTTTAGAATATTTATTATATAATTGAATGCATCTGGTGTTACTCAGTATATAAATAGCGATGCAATAGCGATGATGGTTATGATGGTCAGAGACAGGCCGCTCAATGGTCTCTTCCGAAGCTAAAGCCAAAATACAGCAGTGGCATGCTTTATTGTGTACATTTAAGCATCGGTTAAAATAGGAAGTTAAACGGGATAACTATTTTCCTTCTCTGCCACTTCCTTACCCTTTTGGCTCAGTGCTGTGACATCACCTGTGGGGGAGGGACAAAGTGAAATTTCCTTAGAATGGAGGACAGCAGAGTTGAGGCAGAAGCAGCAACAAATGCTTTGAGTGTGCTGAAAAAGACATTAAAAGGAGAAAAAAAGCAAGAAAGGAAGAAACTAGAGACTGGTTGCCTGGTTATTCGTGACAGTGCTTGTGGCCATGACAATGACGATGATGAGGCGGTTAAAGTACAGTGCGAAACCCCGAGTCACACCACATTTCGTTCTTGCATGCATTTAATGTGCCTCGGTGGTCAGCTTCATCAGTCGCTGTTTGCTTTTGTCCCACTGACACCACAACGGCGACAGAGCCGGGTCTGCTCCTTTAAACGAGCCTTTGCGCATAGCCTTCGAATCACCACAACTGCATCAGTGCTGGCTGGGTTGCCTAGCAACTGGACAGCACAGAGATCCCTGAAGAAAACCTCTTCCTCTGTATAAAACACAAGCTCGTGTGATTCTCCGATTGTGGTGTGCGCGTGTTGCCAATTTCCCAGTGTTTATGTTACTAATACGGGGGGGAAAACATGCTGAAGAGGAATGAAATAAATAAATAAATTCGACGTGCGTGTTTCCATGCCGTAGGTGCGCTCGCGAGTGTGCCCGCATGCATGACTTGTGTGTGGGTGAGCGCCTTCATGCGTAAGTGCGCGTGTTTCAGAAATGTGGCAAAGTGGAAGAAACGCACGGAAACGCACCGGCACACACTTCCAGCATCCTAATGGGCTTCAGAGAGACAATTCAGCGCATGAACAGCCTGTCGCTAAGGAATTCACCTTAGGTGTCCCCCTCCCTCCTCACCCCTTAGTAGGATATTTTATTTTATTTTAAAAGCAGAGATCCAAAAAGAAAAGAAAAGAAAAAACAGAAAGAAAACACAGGAGACGAGATTCCCTCATCATATCTCTTTGGTCATTGGTTCGGTGTTTCCAGGAGAAGACCACCGGACCCTAATAACGTATTCAAACGCCATTTAACGCCGGGCAGCGGAGGCAAGTGGACTTTTCGAATAGGTTTGCGTCTTTAACATGTAGGCTAATCCGACGTTGTGACACATTGCATTTGGCGTATCGGGGGGGGGGCATCCATATTTCTCGGCATCTAATTTTTTTCTCCACCAGAGGAGTGATATAGCTTGCTCTGACGTCTGCATCAGATATTACCCAGTGCTTTTTCAATGTGCATTTTCCCCTCAGTGACTTTGCGCTGATCTACATCATCATCATCAGCAGCAGCAACAACAGAGGGGGAAGACAAAAAAAAAGAAAAGAAGCGGGGGAATGAAGATTTAATTTTTTTCTTTTCTTTTCTTTCTTTTTTTTTGTAATACAAACCCACCGCTCCCCTCCAGACGACGCGCGTTTCCAAGCTCAAACAAATATCTTTTAACAACATCACGTTGTGGAATAGTCTGGCGCCAGAGCATCGCTGGAACCATGCCTCATCTGCAGATTTGGACTGGGAAATTTCATCCACCAATTTGATCGTCAAGAGGCTGCTGCTCAGTCACTCATGCCCGTGTTTGTTTGGTTTGTGTTTTTTTAAGGGGGAAGAACACTTGTCATCACTTTTTAAAAGTATTAGGTATGCCGTTTTTTGAGCAAGATGTCTGATCTTCTGGTGTTGGTCGAGGGGCTCTGTGACCTGCACGGATTTCCATAGCCGGGGAAGAAGCAGCGGGGGCCAATTACCAGATTTTTTCTTTCTTTTCTTTTTCTTTTTACCCCCATCCCTAAAGCATATTTTAATGAAGACATCGCATGCATAGATGTAGGCTAGTTTATTCGGCATTTTTAAAAGGCAATTATTTTTTGATTGCCGATTTTTACTTTGTGCATTTTCGGGAGGACCACTGGACCGGTTGGATTATAGGAACTATATAGAAGGATTTGTGGAGATGTTGGGTCGCCAAGAAGATAAATTATGTGGAATTTTCTCTGCTCTGGCGGCTTTGTCCTTCGTATGCTTTGTTCAAAGGTAAGAAAATGTCGCTTGGAAGAAAAAGAAGAAAAGAAATTACGAACTGTCACACCCGTAGACGTGATTACCGGTCAATAAAAGGCTCAGATGTGGCAAATCGCATTAACGGGGTACCCAGGCCTACTTATTAGGGGCATTGCTGCCGATATATGCCCTATTAGACGGCGCTTTGGCGCGCGCGAGCGTAAAAACATGCGCGTGCACAACCAGAAGCCCATTGTGAAACGTAACCTACTCCCGATATCAAAATGGGGATATACGTGTGTGTGTGTGTTGTCTGGGGAGACTGTGTAAAATGACAGCCCTGAGTAGGCACTGTAGGCTTGAGCGACGATTAAGCGATACAATCAATCAGCCGATCATCGATTGATTACGCTGTTCTAAGCAGCTGTCCGCAGCTGTGAACTACAGCACTGTATCCAGCAAGCAAAACCCTTTTAATTTTCAACGCCAACTAATGTTCGTATTCATACTGCTGTCGCCCACTTGCTCCTTTTTGTATATTTATATACGTGTTTCAATCTGATTTTGAGAAGGAATCCTGGCGGGTTGTCATCCTCTGCTGCTCTCCACATAGATGACAGGGTAGCCCTTTAACGTTGCAACGTTTTGTTTTTTTTTTAATTCATGTGCCATGGCTTTTAAATGTTTACACCATTGCCAAATTACTGCACAAGACTTCATGGATAACGTCTCAGTGTCAGTCTCCTGATCAGTTCCGTAGTTGTTTTGATCTTAGAGGAACTGATGTAGCTTTCATCCCTTGTGGCCTACTCCTTTTTCATGGTCTGCAGCAACCTGCAGCTTCCCTTATGAGAGTGAAATGCTCACTGAGAACACTGGGCTGCACCTTTTGACATCTGGTTCCATTACAATAGTCTGACCCAAGCAAATGAAAGGGTTTGATTTTTGCAGATTCCCTCATGATGCTGTCAGGTGTCAAACCCTCCGGCCCTGCAACTGCCCAGCTTGATGAACAGCTGCACTGCCTATGAGCTAATTGAACAGTGATTCCCTGACTGAGCCGTGGGCAGTAGTGCTCCTGCCATACCAAGGGAGCAATTTACCCCCCTCACACACGCACGCATGCACACCCTCCCTCTACACTCATTCAGCCCCTTCCTTGTAATAGGGAACCTCAGCTGGAGAGCTGCTCTCTGCTAGGTGATGCAGGTCATGGCACCAATGTTATAGATGCCACTCAGACTAGAGTGGACTATGCAGTTCCTCCTGGGAGAGGTGGTCTGTCAGACTGATGAGGCCCGTGCTTCTGACGGCACGATGGGAGGCTTTTTGCTATAACCTCGTGCTTATTAAAACACACGCCACTGAATCATGCTGGGCTTTTAGCTGATGGCGAGCCAAATAAACTGTGACGTTGTTACACTTAACACCATTGTTTCTGAAGGACTGGCATCAATATAAAACGTTTGACAGGTGCACCATCATTGCACCCCCTCAACCGATTTGATGAATATGCTGTAGGTGGGACAGAGGGGGATAATGCACAATGCAAAGCACGTTTTTCATGCATTTCCAGTTATGATACAAACATCGGATTGTTTTAACATTTTATCAGGTGCACCTCAGAGTAACACAGAAAATAAAAAAGCATCTGCATGGATTTAATTCTTTGCAGTGCTATTTTCTTTGCGTTTTGATTAAATCTGGAGTCTGGTAGTGAAATAATGTTTACTTTGAAGGACGTGGGATGCACGCGTGGATGGGATTATTTGTATGCGAGGTGTTGTTTAACATCCAAAGTCCCCTTCTGCCCTTTTGCTAACACCTTATCAGGGCTTCCTTTTCAAATGTGACATTTGAAAAGGAATATAGAGTATGTGCAGCACAGTTTTCAGGCTACTATCACTCAGCAGGTGTGCTGCAGAGATGCGTAATGTTTGTGATAAAAGTATTGGACACTTCCGCTTTTGCTGCTTAAAAATGCCTCTTGGATTTTCACCTCCCCTCCAGCTCCTCCATTGGAAGCGCCGGCATGTCTGTGGCCAAGACCACCGTGGACAAGTTGCTGAAGGGATATGACATCCGTTTAAGGCCTGATTTTGGAGGTACGTGTCATGATTACATCTGTTTATGGGTCGAGGGTCTTAACAATTCAAGGTTTGGTCATGATGATATCTACGAGTCATCCCTAAGCCGAGAGCTGCCGAAGAGTTGGCCTGTGGCAAAAAAAAAAAGAAATGGGGATGAGCTTTGAAGTGACTGCTACCATGTCATTACTATGCATCTATCCACATAATCGAAGATGGCTGCTCCTCTAGAAGTAGGGCATACATGGAGACGAGCCGTCAAACGCTATGTCTTTTAAAATCTGGTAGACTGAATGCACTGATTTTCAATACTTTTCTGAATGCACTTCTGATTAGAGATGTTTTATGGCCTCTGCGTTGCACATTACGCCATACATTTGGCCCATTAACTTTTACTGGAAATTATGCATTTGCTCATTACAATAATGTTTGCTTTTATGATTCTTTAAAGTATACAACACGGAGGACAACTCGTTCTTGTTTGCTACGTAGAGTGATTGTTTTACTGAAGCTATTTAACTAAAGCAGAAGTATGAAAATAGCTGGACAATCTATATTAATTTGTTGGTACTTTAATAGGTAATTTGTTGGGTCTCTTTTGTGCAAAATGAAGGTTTGGGGAAAAAAATCAATAAGAATTAAAGCTTTTCTTTTGCAAATTAAGTAGATCATGTGTACTTACAATGTACAGGATGAAAAGCCAGTGGTTGGTTTCCTTTTGACATTTAAGTTATTGAGATAACATAAAGTTAACATTTCCAGCTGTGGCAGCGTTGCTTTTGTTTTGCTGTAAAAAATGTTCAGGGTTGTAGATTTGATTGAATTTCATTTCAAATGTAAACAGACATACATTTGCATACATTTAGGAGGCTTATTTGGCTGATAGTGGTTCTCTTTAACATACATGATCTAAATTACGCTTATTAAATAGATGCACACTGTTCACCAGTACCTTTTTTTAAATATGCTGCAGGCTGCAGCTTGTCAGCCCTGTGACTACACTACACTTGATGAGAATGAGAGCAAGCAGTGAAAAACATATAGCAGGTGTGCCTCCTCATATAACCTTCGTCTGGTTGGCTGCTCTGATGAAGGCTTATGTGCCAAGATGCGTTAGGCTGATGTTAGCTATTGTAACAAAACAAAAAAAACCAAACACACAAACAAAAAAAGAAAAGAAAAGAAAAGAATTTTTTTTTTTAAAATATGCTATGTTATAGTTGAGGTTAGGTCTTTGTTCTGTGTTTTGGAGTGCTGCCATTCCAGAGTTGTTTCAAAGACTCAGTGAAAGGAAATAAGACAAAGCAGCAACGAAATGCCATTTTCACTTTGCTTCCGACTGTTGAAACAAGCTCGTTATGCCTAGCAGTAGTTTTGGACATTGCACATTTCATTTTAGTTTTGCAGCCAATTTCAGTTGGGATATTATCACCCAGCAAGACCCAGCCCCGTTTGACAATATTAAATATCACTCAAATACAAACAAATGTTTCAAAGTCAATGTTTCTGCAACAGATTCACACATTCCTCGGTCCCATTTATGTAGCGCCATAGCTGTGTAGCTGGTGCTTGCAAATGCCAAGTCTATTGTGTTTTCTCTCTGGCGTTTTAATTTGTGCTTTCATGACAGTTGGCAGCAATTTGAAGAGTGTTTCGGGTCTGAACTCATCCTTATTGTCCCGCTCACCAGCAACAGTTTTGTAGCTCACCAGTTCCGCCATTCAAAGCAGACAAAAGAATTAAATGTGACCAAGAACTGTTGAATCTGTGTAGCGTTTTTGCTGTTGTTAAAGGTCAGAAAAGACAAAAAACGCTGGATTCGGCATGTCGAATTGGCAAGCAAGCAACAATCACTTTACTTCGCCATAATGACTTACATAATATATAAAAACACAATGCCATAATTCCCATCGCATATCTCTTGTGGGTGAATTACCAAAGTATGTATTAAATATCAGAATATAATCAGGAATTTTGTGCATAGATTTTGAATAAAAATAAAGGTTTCTGTTCCGAAATGTTCAATGTTAAGAAGATATAGGCAGCGTTTTGTGTTATGTGAATGATTTCATTTTTGTGCAGCTGAGAAATCAGCAATGTTTTAAATTAATAAACAAATGGATTAACACTGCAGCATCCTCTTTTATCTCTATATTACCATCAATTCAAGTAATTGCCTTGATTTCTGGTTCGACATTGAATGATATTAAATATCTATGTTGATATTGATTGCCTAAAGATTTGTTAGTCACAGGCTGCTATTCTGTAGCAAGCTGCGAATGTGTTGGAGTAAGTAGAGCAAGTTTTAAGGAGTGAGTATCCCAGGCAGGGAGTAGCTGTGCTTTACCCTCGGGCCAGAGAGCTGTAGTCCATCATGTCTTGATATTTCCAACATCACTCAGCTGCTTCTGCTGTGCTACTGCTGCTGATGACCTTCAGCACTGGAGATTCAAGAAGGAGGATTTTAATTTGGCACAATGCAGGACAGTGAGTGTGATTGCTATCGGCCTGGCCAACACCCATATTAGAAGTAAAGATCAGCCCAGAGGTGTATGTTGGTGGAAAACGCTTGTGCACTGAGTGGTCAGAAACAGGACGATGATGCGTGATATTATTCAGATCGTTTATTTAAATGGAAAGTCCACTCTGCAGTCATTCCATTTGAACAGTGCTCTCCTCTTCCCATTGATCTGTGAACCGACTGGAATTAAAGATAATAGCTCAACAGTCCCAAATTACTTCTATACTATCATGATATTGGTTGAATTACTATTACTGTTTTTCAATTTTGCAGAAAAAACAGTTTGATTAGTGATCTCTTGCAAAAAGGGTGTGCGTGTCTTCTCTTTGGATTGTAGTCCTCGGTTGTAACCGCCTAACAAACCGCCCATGGTAACAGTGCTGATTTTTCGATCGCAATTCTGAATGATGCATTACATTGATTTAAATTCAGCCAGCGCATTGCAGACCTGGTAAAGAAAGAATCACTTTTTAAGCACAGCAATATTTTTTTAAACACATTTGCTCTTTTTGAATCAGTTGTGTTTTCATACCAATGCAATTGCTGCTACTCAATCCAGGACCTGATTGTACGGAAATCTGTGTCTTGTATTAAAAAAACAAAACACTCACAAGTTACCAAAAAATGGACGGTTGGTTGATCGTGTCGCTGCTCAGCTGCATTTCACAGCGTCTGCCACCAGTACTTGCTTATTTGCTGCATTGATGCTGATGAGGTCTATCTTTTCCCACTTAATGTTGAATTATAAAGAAATAAGGATGAAACATAGTTTTAATGACATTAAATGATTCTAACTAGCTTGAACTAAGCAGCAAATGGTGCATTCAAATGCTTTTCTTAAAATGTGCTCATTCCATGAGAACTTTCCAGCATACTGAGCATACTGAAAAGTGTTGTGTGGACTTGTTTAGGTGTGTTGTTCATGTAAGGCAGATGACTCACAGTGATGTATGACAGTGTCTTACAATTAATCGGAAAATAGTGGATTTTGGGAATATGCCCAATTTGGGGATACTAGTAAATCTGCAAAGAGAATCAAAGCTTGAACACATACTAAATGGAAAATAGGACACACTAAGGAGACTATAGATTTTAAAAGTTCACAGACATTGTAGGGAGTAAGAGCAACCACTGCAGCAGTAAGCTTTATTAGTTATTGGAGCACAGTGGTGCTGGTCATGTGTTTAATGATATTTTCTAAAACTGGTAGGTCTTTATCATGATTCAGTGATGATGATGCACCTTCTGTTGGGGTAGTCCCTGTCTTTGATTTCATAGAAATATTTGTTGGGAAATTCAAGGTAACTGCAAAAATACTAGAAATAGTCATGGAGGGCTTTGGTTGACTATATATGTTTTGGGTTATTACATTTGAAAGAGATGTATGTTATCATAAGAATGAGGGGGTTTAAAAGAAATCTTTTCTTCTATTCATAATGAAATAAAGAAATATTGGAAATTGAATATTTTTTCCACTTTCGTATTTAACCACAGGTACAAGAATCAGATCCAGAACATGTAACATTTACACTCGTCTACTGTTCCACAACCATCCCATTTGACAAATCTGATAAACGATTTAGTACTCTGTCGAGAGGAGCAGGGGCTGTGGATGCACATGCATTTATTTTTCAAATCCATAAGCCGGTTAAGCTTGTTGAAGACTTGCAATTGTTACAATTACCTAAAATGATTTGCACTTTTTTTAACTGCAGCGCCAGACTTCATCTTAATATACAGATAGTAATTTCTTTGTCTAGTACATGTTATTATGAGTGATCAGTTGATCTTTGAGAGTCTTAAGTCTTTCTCAGGTAACAGTGCATTTAGCGTCTATGTTTTCACTCTTTCAGAGTAGCTTGTAACATCAAAATCTACACAAGAAGGAGAACCAAAATGGCTCCAAAGCAGCCTCACTGGCAAAGCATTCTGTAGACAGATATGCTTCCTTAAGCTAGCAATATTTTATCATTGCAGGTTTTGTTCGGGTGCAACCACTCAACACATGCCAATCGTATGCTACAGAATGCCAACACTCTTGAAATTGGCCGCATGTTATCAAGCGAATCAAAGAGTAATCTCGCAGACTGGAACTCTGAGCCAGTGGAGTGAAGTAACTCATCAGTAAGATCACCTGCTGGGGAAAACAGACAGTTGACTCTCCATGGCACATGGTCGGCTGCTCTTGACCAAGTGTTTTTGACAGTAAGCCCCATTTTTCAGTGAACACGGGAAGCTCTGCTGCAAGGTATTCCTCATGCGCCTCTGCACCTTGACAGCATTTTGATTATATAGGTTACAATGGCAAAGCCCCTTGGAAACCATGGGGCAGGTGCTGAAGAGCCAAAGAGTCTGTGTCATGCCTGAAAAAAGGCAATAGATCAGGTACCTAGTAAATAATCACAGTGGACTTGTAACTGGTAAAGGTTCATTGTAGAAAATTGCAGCTATCAAGAAGACCACTGGTCTCAAGATACTTGTTGGGCGCAAGGTATTT